GAACACCACAAACTGCAGTGCAACAGATGACTAGACCAGCGCTTAAACTGATCTTGAGAGACAGTGCACCATTAAGAACAAGCACTGACATATGCAAATACTACTATTGAGAACAGATCTGTAAATTCCCAGTTGTGATTTTATTACCTGCACTGCTGGTGGTTTCCAGCGCATGTTCTTCAGAGGTGCAGGAGTTAAATTGCATGTGTTTGCTGGCCGTTTTTTTAACAAAAGCACAACGCCTACAGGGTCTTCACGGAGCTTTCCAACAAGATTTTTCAACTGCCATCCAACCTTTTAAGACAGAATAGAACATGGTCTGATTTACAAAACAATTGACTTGCTTTTAATTGCTTCAAGAAATGCCATTTTCCATAAGAAACCCCAAACATTTAGGTGTACAATGAGAAAAACATGAAATACATTTGGTTTATCAAAACCTTTGTGGCATTGGCATGTTTTTTCAAGAGTGCTGTGCATGGAATGTTCAACATTTATGAGCCCTATTTTCTTCCAATATATCCTTAAGATTAGTTCATATGTCAAGACTAAAAAAGAACCACAAAAAATCTGATTCCTAAAATGAAGTGTCCATTAAAGAATGTTTTAAGATCAGTAGCATGTTCAAATCCTATCACAAAAAAAATCCTTTATAGATCTTCTGGATCTACGTCAGCCATAAGTGGAAAAGGTTAAAGTTCAAAACCATGTTTGCAAACTTCTTACTTCCTATGGTACCCACTGCATCAGAGATTATTATTAATAACAGCAAAGTTGTTCTGTTGATGCCATATTCTTGAACGTGTGCAAATTAAGATCTCTAACGAGTAGAGAGACATCACCTAATTTTATTTCAACTGTTCAGAGTCTTGGGAAACAATATTTCACTATAGGTTTGGAGACAATTGGATTTAGATTGCAATATGTAGATAGGTTAATGAAGGAATAATTGTGGTAAATGCACTACATATAATATTCATGGGCCACCAGTAAAGTTATGAGCGACCAATGGTTTTCCCCGGGAAGCCATTTTCTCATTCCACATACCTTTGCTGTCTTGTCACAGCAAAGTAACAAAATCTCTCAGAATATACAGCCCAATATATGTAACTGTAGATTGGAAACTATGAGTTGAAAAAAAATATAATCACAAAGTTATGGTCACAATCACCTTCAGTCACTGGCATGCCACCCCAGCCGTATGATGTGGTTGCCAATAGCTGCAGCAGACAGCACTGTTCATCTGATATCAGCAAGAATAAGTGAAGCAGGAACATTTGATACACTGTTTTTCATGGGATGTGAGCATCACTGGTTCAACCATCAACTGTTGCCAAACTCCTACTGTAGTCTCATGGTGGGATGGTGACCTGTCATCTTGAGCTGCTGCAGTCCATCTGACATAGATATATTCACAGTGCTTTTGAGCAGAACCTGGATTTTGACCCAGCGATAGTGAAGGAATGGCGATATCATCCCAAGTCAGGAAACTGTGGGGCTTGGATGGGGAACTTGCAGGGAACTTATGTTCCCATGCAATTAGTGGCCTTATCCTTCCAGATGGTAGAGGTCATGGCTGATGGTGGAATTTGAATTCAGTTAGTAAGAAAAATCTAGAATTGAGTCTAATGATGACCATGAATTCATTGGCGATTTTTGGGAAAAACCATCTGAATCACTGATGTCCTTTACGGAAGGAAACTGCCATCATTACCTATCCTGAACTACATGTGACTCCAGACTCACAGCAATGTGGGTGACTCTTAACTACCCACTGAGATAGGCAACAAATGCTAGCCTAGCCAGTGACACCCTCATTCTGTGAATGAATATTCAAAAAAAAAATGCATAAACTGCTACCATCATTTGATGGATTGCATAAATATTTAAAGGCGGTGGATGGGGTCTTGATCAAATATGTTTGTGAAACCGGTTGAATCTTGCTGGAGCTGCACTCATCCAGACAAGTGAAGAGTATTCCATCACACACCTGACTTGTGCCTTGGAGATGGTGGACAGGGCTTTGGGACAGTGGAGGAGAATTACTTGCTGCAGAATTCCCAGCCACTGATATGTTCTTGTATGGCACAGAATTAAAATGGCTGATGGAGTTGGCTTTCCAGTCAAATTGTAACCCATCGTCAAGATTCTAAAGCTTCTGTGCTAATGATAATGTCATGAATATCAAAAAGGAGATGACCTCTTGTTGGAGACAGCATTGTCTGGTATTTGTGTCACAAATGTTATCTGTCACTTACAGTCAAAGTCTGAATGCTGTCCAAGTCTTGCATGTGGTCATAAACTGCTTCAATATCAGAGGAATCACAAATGGTACTGAGCACTGTTCGATTGCCAGTAAACAAACACAACTTTTGATCTATTGAGGAAGGGAAGGTCATTGATGAAGCATGATAATCCCAAAATAGACTGTTCAACTGTCAATGTTCCATTGTCTATTTGTGAATATCCCACAGAAATTGATCCGTATATCTTTCAACCTCTTTTTTTTGACTCATCTCATTTTTAATGTGTGTGTGTGATGGGTAATTATTTTTTCTCATGCTTCATGCTTGGGCCTAGGAGACTATACCGAGGAACTGAGGGCACTCCTGGTGCAGTGGTAGTGTTCCTGCCTGATCCAGAAGGCCATTGTTCAAGTCTCACTTTCTCCAGAGGAGTGTAGTAACATCTCTGGACAGGTCAATTAGAAAATTTCTACCTTGACAAACTCCTGCAGTTATGTCCTGAGGCAATCATCTGGGATGATCGATCTCCAATAACCACATCCATGTTCCTTTATGCTCAGTATGACTTCAACCAGCGGAGGGGTCTGTGTTCCCTAAATTCCTATTGAATTCATTTTTGATAGGAATCCTTTAACACACTCAGTTTAGTGCCGGCCTTGCAAAAGAGGCAGTCACTGTTACTTTACCTTGGACACAGAGGCACAGGTAAAAAAACATTGCTCTCAAAGGCCAGGTGCCTATAGCTTTCCACCAACAGCTATTCTCTCCCTTCTTATTTGGTCTGTCAGCTCCTTCCCGTTTTGTTGCTTCTGTTCATTTGGTGTCACGCTGTGGTTCAAGAGGTTTTATAGCACTGCCCCCTCCTGCCTGGAAGCAAGTGATTGTGCAGACCTTTCCATTACAATAAAATCTTTCAACATGTGCCACATCACAACTTCTAGATTTTATTTATTTGAAGCAATTGTGAAAGACATCGAATGGATATCAATCAGGGACTAGATGATGCCTTAAGCATGTCTTTGCACATTAGAACACCAATGTACTTACTGACGTAGAACTTTTAATAACAATGCGTTTTTCTTTCTAAAAAGAAAAAAGGACAGATGGCCAAAAGATGACTGTGGGTTTAAATTCAGTGTCTGTATAGAGAAAAACAACCTGGAATGCTACATCTGATAAGCTCTCAAGGAAGCTTCAGAAGTGAAGTCACAAGGGAGAAATGGACTACAAACTGAACTGTAATCTCCTGGGATTTATTTTAGGCCGAACATGGGGGACAAAAGGACAGGAGTCTTGGAAAAACATGGCATATGTCTTCTGCTTTGAATAATACATTAGAACAGGGAATAAAAGTTTGTTCAACACTAATTTGTGCATGCTAGTTTAACATAGTGCACCAGTGGGCTGGGTTACTTGTATATAATAGCCTGGGTTCACGCATTAGTGTGCTATGAATGACACAGTCAAAGAACCAGCCACTAGTCAGCCCTGAATTGCAGGTAAATGTCCGAGTGTTAGAAGCCAGCTAACCAAAAAGATGCAGGAGAAAAGATCAACTCTCTCACTACGTGCTGCCAGTCACAGGCAAAAAGGGAAACAATACAGAAAGGATTTCAAAGCCAATCATCCCAAAATAGACTGTTCAACTATCAATGTTCCACTGTCTATTCGTGAACGTCCCACAGAAATTGATCTGTATATCTTTCAACCTTTTTTTGACTCATCTCATTTTTAATTTGTGTCTGTGTGATGGGTAATTAATTTTTCTCATGCTTCATTACTGATAAAATACAGAATTATTAACTCAACAAAGCTTGGTTAAATTGCCTATCAAAGCATAATTCTTTTGGTTTGGGACAAAGGTACCCCCAGGGAGGGGATAGTTTGTAAATTAACCCTATTGTGACAACTGAAGGCACAGATGAATAAAGGATGGCAGCCAATTCATCCCTCCTCATCTGAGGTGTGTCAATTTTGGGGTATCCTGCCTGGAACTATAACTGCAGGAACCTTGCTCAAGAACTGGTTAACAGTTATGGATACATAACAGTTGAGTGGTTTTCCCACTGCTTCAGAACAGTAGTGCAGATTGAGGTCACAAGCAAGCTGTGCACATTGCTGGTGGATGCTCCCTGCATGTATGCTAAAACGGTCATCAAATAGCATCAGAAACCAGCGATGTATCCCTGCATGCACATTGCACACCACTGGAGGTGAAATGGTGCCCAATATGCTGAAATACTGGAGCTATATGTTGCAGACTACAAGTTGATGTCACAACACCATATTCATATACAACTGCGCTCAAGCCAGGGCACACAATCACGGAATAGCTCTTATCTCAGTCGGAAATGCACAAGTCCAAGGGACAATATAAATACCTGGTGTGGAGGAGTATTATAGTTAAAACAAGTTGTATGCACAAATTCCAAATACCAGTTTTCTATTTCTCTGTTGTGTAAGTGAGCATTACAAAGTAATGCTGCTTAATACTGCTATGGGGCACTCAGCACCCAAACTATGTAAATTTCTTAAAAATCAATAGCTCCAAACAGCAAAGAGACCCCATTGACGGTCAATTAGTCAAGAAATTCAAGGCTCTCACTTTCACTTCACCTTCTCCCAGACAGCACTCCCCACCTTTACCATGGTGGAGGCAGAGACTAGCTGCAAATCTACACTGCTGCCTAACAGTTATTTCAGATCAGATCAGAGCAGGAATTCAACTTTGGATCACCTGATGTAAACGGTCCATTATTCAAGGCAGTGGCTCCCAACTATGTCAGTGACACGGTGCAATTCAAAGAGACAAACAATCCCACAGCACACACTTTCTTTAAAACAGCTGAATTGATTGCTCACAGATGTCACATTTACTTGGATTTGCAAAGGTTAGGGTGTTCCTCAAGGTTTGCAACATCGTGCATACAACAAGCTAAAGGAGGATCAAATGCATTAGTGTTTCAAGCTTGTTTTACATTGATTTTCATTACTTTTGTACAAAATTTCATGGCACACCAGCACACCGCAGCATACTGGTTGAAAAACTACTGATTTAAAAAGGTACTGTATTTCCACACTACAGTGGCAAGTGAGTTTGTTCTCTTTAGTAAAAGAATCTGTTAAGCAGATATTTAAGGATGCCAGCAAAATCTAAAATGGTAGAATTCAAGTTTGTATCTATAATGCAATGTTTAGTTTGTTCATTTGGTACAAAATTTAATGAAGCAACTTCCTATACTTAGGTCAAAACAAGAGATAGAGTGACCAAATATTCTCTTGCTGCACCAAGAGGCCAGGCAGACAGCAGCAGCACGGCCTCTACTAAAATTAAAGATAGTCCCTCTCCATGAGGGAACAATACATTTCAAATAAAGCTGATCTTTACTATTCCACAAGCTTGTAAAACAGAAAGGAAATTTGTAGGATAACACAGGGTTCACGAATAGGACACTTGAGGTCATTTGCTGTACAAGATTTGGATTTTGCTCTTTTTGAGAAGATGATATGACTTGTGCTTTTAGCCTTAGTCACTATTTTAATTCTAGTTAGATAGTAAAATTATCATTGAATGCATTAGAAGAATGAAGTATTCAGACAGCATGGTATCCTTCAGATCAAATGATAACAAAGTATAACATTAAGCGCGGAACCATCCAGTGGTTATCCGTTTCAATGGGTCTCAAATACTTAATTGTCTATTTAGTACTTACCACAGTTTGCTGATTCACCTGAATCACCTCATCACCAGCATGAATCTTGTGAGATCGATCAGCAGGTGACTGCAAAAAAGAATCACAGAATAGTTACAGCGCATGAGATGGCCATTCAGGCCATTGTATCTATGCCAGCTCACTGAATGAGCAACCATAACCCATTCATTCTTCCTCTTCAGAAAACAGTCCAATTTCCTTTTGAATTTTCCAATTAAACATGCTTCCACACTCAGGCAGTGCATTTCAGACACTAAATACGTGTTGTGTGAAAAGATTTTCTTCATGTCCTTCTGCTCCATTTACCAATTACTTTATATACACACTATAATATTCTCAATCTTTGCACAAGTAGTAAAAATTTCTCTCCTCTGCTCTGTCCAGTCCCCTCTTGATTTTTAATACCTCTATCAAGTCTCTTGGCAACCTTCTCTCCTCCAAGGGAAAAAAAATCTCAACTTTTTCAATCTATCTTCATAACAAAATCCTCATTCTCATGATCCTCTTCTGCATCCTTCTGATGACATCACATCCTTCCTAAAATGCAGCACCCAGAACCAGATGTCATACTGCTGAGGTTAAATGGGTTTCCTGCATGAGTTCAGCATAACCTCCCTGGTCTTGTACTCTACACGCCAAATAATAAAGCTTAGGATACTGCATGCTTCAACTGTTCCATCAATCTGTCCTGCCACCTTCAATGATTAATGCATTAGGTCTGGGGGCAGGGAAAGGGGTATAAGGTCAGAGTGTGAGACTGGTGTAGCCTGGGGGTGTCTTGGGTAGGTTGCCAGGTCAATTAGATACACACTCAGGAGTTAGAATGGTTATTTAGTAGTCAAGTCTTTCCTGAACCTGAGGATTCTTTTTAAAAAAAAACTTAACTACAGCAGAATCCTCCTAATTCTAAAACTTAAATGGTTACTTTGTGCGTTCCAGACATAGAAGAATTGCCCAGTGGAATCTTCAATTTCCAGGCAGTTCCTTCAGTCTGTTACCTAGGGATTCTGCAGCGTCCCATGAGCAACATCCACCAATACTTAAGAAATGATCATCTGACCATCAGAAAGTCCAGGCCAATCAGATACATAAAACCAGGGGAGCAGGATCTGGAAAATTGCTCTGGATTTGGGTCACAAAGGTGCAGCTTCAAATCCAGTGGCATGACTGGCAGTGCAACAAAAGGGACAGCTCAGGCAAGAGAGAAACGACGAATCACAGAAATCTGTGGCATGAAGCAGAAACTACCCACCATAAACTAAACAATTAATAGGTAAACCACTAAACAAGTGGGAAGAATTTAATGAGAAGCATCTGTACCTCCAAAGTGCAACAGTTCTACTTGTCAAAAAAGAAAACCATGGACAACTAAAGACATTCGAGGCAATATAAAACACAACACAAATATAAAAGCAGTACAGATCATGGTAAACAGAGATAAAAGGAGCAGCAAAACAGACAGTAAGAGCTACAAAGGGGAAAATGTAAAGGCACTTGTAAGGGATATCATAATGTACACAGACTCTTTTACATTTACAAGATGGGAAAAAAGGCTTGTCAGAGGAAGGGTCACTGGACCCGAAACGTTAACTCTGTTTTCTCCTTCACAGATGCTGCTAGACCTGCTGAGCTTTTCCAGCAACTTTGTTTTTGTCAGAAACAATGCAGGCCCCTTGAAATTAGATGTGGTGATGTTGTCAATGATAAAAAGGAAGTGAATGACATGATGAGTAATTAGGAACAGAAAGTTGCTGGAAAAGCTCAGCAGGTCAGGCAGCATCTGTGAAGAAAAAAAAAAAAATCAGAGTTAACGTTTCAAGTTCGGTGACCCTTGCTCAGAACTGATTTTCATGATGAGTAATTACTTGGCTTCAGTAATTACATTAGATTAGCATGCCCGACATCTTAAAGAAGCCATCATTAAATCAATGGTATGGACATGATAACATTTAAGTAGGAAGATAACAGGAATGAAATAGCCTTAAGGAGTGACAACCCACCAGGAGCCAATGGTTCGCTTTGCAGGATTTAAGCAGCTGTTGTTTGAGTACATTGCAGATGCTGTTACAGCAATCTTTCACAGAATTAACTTGATTCAAGATGTATTCCTTTAGATTGGAAAATTGTGCACAAGACTCCTGTCATTTAAAGGAAGGCAATAGAGGAAATTATAGGTTTGGCATTTGTTGTTAGAAAATTGCAAGGGTCAGTAATTAAGGATGGGGTAACTGAACACCTTTTTAAAGCTTAGATTTGTTTGATTTGATTTTATCACATGTATGGAGATAGTGAAAAACGTTTTTTTTTGCATGCTATCCAGGCAAATCATACCATAAAGTACATCAAGGTAACAGAACAGAATGCAGAACATAGTATTACAGCTATAGAGAAGGTGCAGAGAAAGATCAACTTTAATATGTGAGAGGTCCGTTCAAAAGTCTGATAACAGAAGAAGCGGGGAATGAGGGAGCATGGATTTAAAAATTTATAGATCTTGCCTCACAAGCCTGATCAATATTTGGAAAATTAACTGACATTCATGAAGTAATTTGAAGTGAGCTATTTTGGTAGAAAGAATGAGATAAGCATTAGAAAAAAAGTACAGGAACAGAGAGATCGGAGAGTATAAGTGCGTAAATCATTGAATGTCATGAGCCATTTTGAGAAAAGGGAGGAAAAGGTATCCCGGATCCTGGTCTTTACCAATAGAAACACAGAGTGCAGAAGTAAACAATTAATGACAAACCATCATAAAAGAGTGGTGCAGTCTCAATTGGGAGTAGTGTGTCCAATTCTAGTTATGGACCTTCAGGAGGACATAAAAAAGATTTTGCAACTAAGAATAAAGGCCATTAGTTACAATGACATTGGAGAAGCTGCAGTTGAGAGTGCTAGAGAGCGAGAGAATGTTGACTTTGCCAAGAGTGAGAACCCGAGAATATAGATTTAAGATGGTTGCCAAAAGAACCATGTGAAATAGGGGAAAGTCTTTATGCTAACCATTAGCATCTAGAATGTACGAATAGTACAGTCGAGCCAGATTCAATCTGCTTTTCAAAAGGGAATTTGATGAGCATCTGAAGTTGGAAACAAAAAATAAAAAACTGCTCAGCTATTGGAAGAGGACAGGAGATCAAAACTGGTGGAATTGCTCTTTCTGGGAGCCTAATCTGACTTCTGGCTGAAATGTTCTCCGCCTATTCTGTAACAATCTAGCTAGGGAGAAAAATTATCCAAGATAAACCAAATTTGTGTTGCATCCCTTGGCATGAAGTTAAAATAACCTCCTTCTGTTTCTATGTTTCTAAATTCATCACCCAGAATACACATTTGGATAGCTCTCTTCTTGTTATTTTCTTGGAATGTTGGCACCACAGGCAAGGCCAGCATATGTTGCCTATTCCCAACTGTCCTTCAAATACATGGCTTGCTAGGCCATTCCAGAAGTTAAGAGTTAAGAGTCAACCAGAGTTTGGAGTCAGATGTAGTATAGACCAGGTAAGGACAACAGGTTTCATTCCCTAAGCCAGATGATTTTTTGTTCAAACAAATTACCATTTACCATAGTTTCATGGTCATCATGACTGAGACCAGCTTTCAATTCCACATTTATTGATTAATCAAATAAAATTCCATTAGCTGAGATGGGATTTGAACCCATGTCTCCTGCGAATAACCTACATCTCTGGATTAACTAGTTCAGTGATAGTATCACTATGCAACCTATCACAATTCTGGACCAGTTTGCCAAACGTATTTTGTTATAATCTGGCTAGAGAACAGGAACCTTTTTAACATAGGTGAGAGATCCTGAGTGGTTACTAAGAGAATAAAGCCATAACATTCCAGAGTTTTGAAGAAACAATGAACTTTACCATACAAAGAACAACAATACAACTTAATATAAACAAATAACCAAAACAGCAAACACAGAAGATAGATCTCACAGATTTCTCATCAGCCCTCCCAGACATTAGTGACACCATGGGTCATCAGATCTCATTAAACTTCACAAGGGATTCCAATTTCTCCTCTTTCTAAGAGGTAGCTTCAGAGCCACCCCTCCCCACTCACCACTCTAGCCCCCACACACAGACTATCTCAATGATTGTTCATGTTCTGGCTCTCCACCCTCTTTTGCTGGGACTACCATCCCTGGAATTCCTGAAACTGCACTCCAGCACCTACTCACAAGCAACTCCAGTATTTTTTCAGGCAGGTTGCTTCATTCAAGTTGTATTGCCCTTGCATTTTTCTTTTCAAGCTCTAACATTTCTCAGCTGTACAAAGCAAATCCTATTTTAGGGCTTTCATCACCCATACTCTCAGTTAAGCTGAAGTATTAATGGCTTCTTCTTAGCTCTCTCAGCTCTCAAGGCTTTCCTGCATATCCTGGTTCCCTGGATTTCTGCAGAATCCCAGTAACTTGGAGCCTGCTACAGTAACACATTTTTAGGATAATGCAATTTCTCCCTCCTCCCAAGTGCCCGAGTGACCAGAAGCCCAAAAGGTAGCAATCTTATCCTCTGACAGCCTCTGTCAAAATGACAAAACTGTTCCGAGGAAGGGTCACCCAACCCGAAGTGTTAACTCTGATATTTTCTTCATAGATGCCGCTAGACTTGCTAAGCTTTTCCAGCAACTTTGTTTTTATTCCTGATTTACAGCGTTCACAGTTCTTTTAGTTTTTATTTGACAAAACTGCTGTTCAATAGCCCTTGAATTGTTCCAAATAACATAATAAAAAGCTTAAAATTAACCATATCCTTGTAACTTCGCAATATTGCATATAAATAATATTTAGATACAGCCAAATATAGCAACCTCTTTCTATGTCCTCCAAATATTCCCATTTTCCCAGTCTGCTGGTGTAAATAGTACAAATTGAATATCAAAAGAGGACTTCATTACATGGTCTCCTGCTCTGAAGCTACTGTCTGTTGTGAACGTCAAAGTGCTTGTGTTGTCACAATTCAAGTTTTAAAACACCTCAGACATTATTTAAGTTGCTTCAAATGATCACAAGATTCTAAAAAGAGGCATAAGACATTAAGATTTTTAGAAACAAA